GTGTGTGTGTGTGTGTGTGTTGTGTGTGTGTGAGAGAGCAGGTGTGTAACCTGGATGGAGATGCCTTCTTGCATGAAAGGGAGAAAAAGGAGAGGAATGGAGAGAAGGGAGGGCTCACTTACCCTGTCAGGCATGACAGCATGGCAGATCATCGTCAACCATGACTGATGCTTGCCGCGTGTCTGGGTACTTCCCTTGGTAGTGGATGGCAGTTGTGTGTGTGGCTTGATTAGACAGTGTGTGTGTGTGGATGAGATGAGTTTTTAGCTGCCTTTTAAACTTTTAAAGTAGACATTTTTTTTTTCTCACCAGGTTTGTTGCCATTTTGTTACTTTTATCTGTAAATGTTTCTCTGCTCTCTTTTTTTGCCCTCCACCTTTCTTTTTCCCACGTATCATTACCAGTGTGAAAGGAAGCATCTAAACCACACTCTCAGGCCAGGAGGACCAACCACCAATCCCCAAATCTCCATCAGTATACACACTCTCTCTCTCACACACACACACCACACACACACACACACACACACACTGTGTGAGAGAGAGAGTGTGTATACCTTGGATGGAGATTTGGGGATTGGTGGTGGTCCTCCTGGCCTGAGAGTGTGGTTAGATGCTTCTTTCACACTGAGTAGATAAGGGAGAAAGAAAGGTGGAGGGCAAAAAAGAGAGCAGAGAAACATTACAGATAAAGTAACAAAGATGGCAAACAATGTGAGAAAAAAAATGTCTACTAAAAGTTAAAAAAGCAGCTAAAAACTATGTTATAAGGCATGCTCTACAGGAGTCCAAGCGGAAGTTGTCATTGCAAGAGCTGTCATGCAAGAAAAGTGAGCCTCCCTTCTCTCCATTCCTCTCCTTTTCTTCCCTCCAATCCCATGCAAGAAGGCTTTGTCTATGCTTCCAGTAAATCGTCACAAGCGAGCAGTGATAGAGACATTCAAAAGCAGCCCCAGATCTGTAGAAATTTTATGGGTTGGTAAACCTGCAACTTATTGCTTCACCAGGCAATTTTCAAAAGGCAGCAAGATAGTTTTGAAAACTCCACATTTCCAAGGATGAAAGTCAGCCCCACAAGCTCCAGGCTTATTGTGTCTCTGCAGTTTTTTGTTAATATACTATTTGCAACTATGTTTGGGAATATGCAGCACCAAAGCAATCAGCTGACATGATAAGGGCCCTAAAGTGGGTCCTGTTTACCTGATCTTGAGGCCTTCGCTTAATACAGTTAAGACCTTTATTATATCCGTTTTGTGCTTTTGTGTTGCATATCTCTGAATTCATTTGTTTAGCTCAGTTACCACACAGCTCAGCAAAGGCGCATAAACTGTCAAAAAACTGTACAAATTATACAGAGGAGGGGAGTTGGCAGTCTAAATTATTGGGACCCAGAAAATTATTTATGCCCTATAGTCCCCTAGTGGATTCTAATGGCCCAATAGCTAACATGCTAGCACAATCATTGTGTGTTTACCAGAGGATACTGGTGTGTTAAAAGATCTAACACAAACAAAGAATGATGTGACTGAAAATATCCTAGTGGGAGATGAGATACTGCGTACCTTGTGGTTTAGGTTGTACTGTTCTGTAACACTGTTGCCTGGTGCAGCGTTAAACATACCGGTTTACTCAACTCTTATATATCTGCAGCTCTGAGCTCTAAACTCTCTGATCAGTGTGTCTACGAATTCACTTGCACAACCAAGCACTAGTTGTCCCTTAGAAAACTAGTAAAACGGCTACAGACTGACTGACAAACAGATAGCTGGACAGACAGGTCAGTTGGACAGACGGACAAGAGTTGTGTCACCATGGTTACCACAGTTGCTGCAGGTTACCTCCTATTTGTTCCTGACGATGAGGCGCCGCTGTTACCTGTCTTTCTGTAAGGGGAGGTTCAGGGGTGGCTTCAGGTTAATGCATGTCATTTTGTTTGTCTCTTCCTGTAGCTTAAATGTTTTTGATATGTAATGTTTTAGTCAATGTCCTGAGAGATCAAATTATGTCAGTAAAATCAGATGGATAACACTTTTGTGCATCATTTATTCTCCAAGAGTACTTGGAAGACAGAAAATATGCATATTGTACCTAGAAAGTATTTCTGGAGCGCCTGAATACATGCTAGTGTAACACTTCTGTATGGCACGTTGTGCTGCCGACAGTAGAAGCTGCTTTTGTGATGGCTAGATTACAGAATTACTTTTTTTTTGTTCATGGTCATTTCTAAAAAAAGGTTTTATGCCTTCTTCAAGGTGAGTTTTAATTTCTCTATGCACTGTAAACACAACGCACATATTGTCTGTTAGCAAGTTATGTAGCTGTCGTGTCTTTCTTTTGGCTAGAAATGTATGTATATGTTGGTGCTAAAATACCGTAAACGTATGAAAAAAATTGCATGAATTGTTTTCTAAAATAAAATTGCAGTTAATAATGTAATCCAATTAGAAAAATGATTGTGAGAAAAAAAATAATTGGTCTCTCGGGCTTACTAAATATAAAATAACTTTCCACTTATTTACTACTATTTTCACTTCTCATGCTGCGCACTACATTCATCAAACATGATGAATTATGTGCTCTCAAGCGTTTCAAATATTTGCATTGCAATATTTGCATTGCAACATTTCTGAAATGATTTATTTTTGCCCAAGCATAGAAGGAGCCATAGACATATAACATAGCAAGTAGTTTCTTTGCTGACCAACCACAGTGATTGGTCGATTGGTCGGCTCACACAAACAGCTGTAGACTAGGGGATGTTTATAGAATTGCTAAAACTTGAGGTTACTGCATTTTTACCTGAATGTAATATAAACAACAAAAAAAGACCAAACCTTTACACAGTGTCCCAGTACTTTAGAGTCTGAATAGCGTCACTGTCACCAATCAGTGTTTATTTGTATTGCTTATATTATTAGATTTCACAATATGCCAAGATGTTGAAAAGATATCTTGACATTTAATTCCATTCAGAATCAAAATATTATTGAAAGAATATGTAATGACACTTTCAATTATTAAATAGTCAAGTAATTAATAGATAAAGAATCTGCAGTAGAATGCCTTGCTATGCAGTTTGCATGTTGGACTTTTGCTCACTAACCTGCTTGTTGTGTCTGTTCTCTCCAGTGTCTCCAAGGTGTCATACAAATCCTGATCCAACTGCAGAGGGGGAAAGATGGGGTGTTAGATATTATACCCAACAACAACAGCATTCACCCAAAATATTGATTTGAGTATCTTTACCCAGTTCACCTACGGATTCCCCTGATCGTACACTGTTCTGGTACAATCTATACACATTCAATGACATAATCATTACATTGTGTTTCGTGGTTCTTTTGCTCTGTAATATTTTGAAAGTGCTCCCAAGTATGTGTGTCTGCTACAGCTAGTTTGCATCATCATGTCCAAATTCAGACAGTATTTACAACTCTCAAGTTAAGGCCGTAATACAGGGGATAATCTCAGTGTAGTCAGTTAAAACCCAATGTCCTACTTTTGTTATACAGGGGAAAAATAAGAAATGAACCATAATATGGTTTCAAAAATAGTGCTGAAGGGCAGCGCAATGTTGACACTTTTAGATTAAATCGCAGCCCTTGCTGATGTAGTCCAAACTCAACATTTACCATCAACTTTATCTGATACACTGTGTCATTTTCTTTTGTCTAGTATTTATCTAAATTCAGGAACAATGGAGGTCGATGCACGAGTCTCACCCGGCTGATTTCCTTGTGAAACTTCTCCTCAAAACCAGCCAAACTCTGGAAGGTGCTGACGTAAAACCCAACACGACTAGTGAGGGAAGAGAAAGAGAGACAGTATTGACTCATGACTGGCTTTACTTAGTTTAATATCCTGTGAGGGTGAACGCAGCATACAGGCAAGTGAAACGTAATTATCGCATCCGTCCATCAGCAGGAAAATCCGTTTCCACACACGCATATACACACCTGTTCCAGAGTGAAGGTAACTCCTCTTGCAAGTCAATATTAATCTCCTCAAACACCTTCTGGGCTCTCTCCAACTCTTCCTCAGCCTGAAACACACACACACACGTGTTGGCACAATGAATTAGGGCATGTTTGTGAGTGTGTGTTTGATGATGTGTTGCTAAATTACATGCTGTATGTGTGTGTGCGTAGCATCCCCTGATACTCATGATTATGCTTGAGCAGGGTTTGGCTGCAGTTGATTTGTTGTTGTCATCTTTGTTTTCTTCCTCATTAGATATTTAACAGTAGCAAGTGACAGGGAACATGGGCAGAAAAAATAGAGCAATGACATGCTAAACAAATTCAAACTGAGGACCTCCTTATTAACATCTCGTGTGTCTTTGACCGCTGAGCTACCAGGAAACCCCTTATCATTGTTATACAGTCACCAGACCTCGTAGGAAGTGCAGTAAGAGTACTGTGTACCTGGCCCCTGGACAGACTGCTCTGGGCAACATTGTGTGCAGACAAGATACCCTGAGCCCAGCCTGGAGTGGCCCTCTCTAACAAGGAGGAGGGCTGGAAGAGAAGCAGATAGAGATAATTCATATGTTAAATGTTGTTACAGTAAAATTGATACAGGTTAATACTACAAATATTTTGTATTTCTTTTACCTTGGTAATTTTAATGCCCCCGTCCTTTTTCTTGGTCTTGTGTGTGGTGGCATAGTTGTGCCTGGCACTGTCATAATCGACCAGCTTCCTGTCCCTCTTAGCGATACGTGCCTGAAAGAAAATATTATAACAAATATTTGCGTTATTCACTGTTTCCACCTACACACAATTACTCAGTTTTCATCTTTAAAACATTTAGTTTTTTGTTAGCTTCCAGGTAACAATATTACAATAGTTTTTTTTAAACATAAGCTTAAATCTTTTCAGCAGCAATTTTGTATTAAATATTTATAATTCAATACAATTGAAATACAAATACAGTTGTGTATGTTTAATGAAACCTCAATAAGATCACAGTATCATATTGAGGAAAGCCTAGAAACACTAGATGCTAGCTCATTTTTGGTCAGGGTTGCTACAGGTCATGACCACACACCTTGATATCAGGGAACTGGCCCAGGTAAGTATCCATGGAGATGAGAGCATGATCAACCAACTTTTGGTGGTAGTCAGTCCACAGTACATCACAGTCCTGCAGCATGGATGAACATAATAAGTATACACAATCACAAACACACAATGCCAAAGATTAATAAGTACTAAAGTAAGTATTAAATAATAACAAACTGCCTGTAATGTTTTATTGCAATAGTTTGCTTCCTGGATGTACTTCTTCATCACTTTAGAGTTAATCGCAGTAGTGGTGTTGCTATGTCTTGGCTTGAGGTCTTGTCTCTAAATTAAGAATAAACTAAAACCTCTTTTCACTGATTGCACTACTTCCTTGCAGCTTGCTTTTGTAGCTTTGTTGATTAGGAACCAATAAATCCAAAGACTTAATGAAGTCAGAGGACAATTTAACAAGCAACTCAACATGTCTCACAAGAGATGCTACCCTATAATTTTGCTGTCAGGAGGACAACAACAAAAATATATATATCCATGGAACACAATTACACACAGCTCTGTGTACCCTAGGAAAAATAGCTGCTGTGTTGCAGCTAATCAGGAGCCAAACACACACACACACACACACACACACATGCTCACACTAAGATACAATATCATAAAGTGGTTTTGACCTCTACGTGAAAACCAGCTTGTCCTCACTCTCACACATCTACTGTATTTTAAGCAAATTCATGAAAAGTGTTTCTGACCTCCACAATGGAATCCACTTCGTTCTTGCCATACCAGTCTGGCTCATACATGTCAGCCAAACACGCCTGCACATTCTTGGAGGACTCGTGCATGGCTAAAGACAAACATAAAGACACATTTTACATTAGTGCAACATCATTGAATGCAGGTTAAATGATTGTGTGTCTACATGTATGGCTTGGTACATGCAAGTGTGTGTGTATATTTGTGTATACAGCAATGTGAATCTGTATAAGCTTTCACCTTTCACTGCTTCCAGGTATGCTCTAAGGTCCCTTTGCAGTTTGCTGCCTTCAGCCTGGCGGTGAAACACAAAACAAGAGGCTCAGACCACAAAACAATGTATAGAGATGTTACAAGCGAGCTGAGCCAGTACATTTTTCATTCTTAGCAAATGTTGAAAACCTGTTTGAGATAATTCAAAATTTTGTGTGTAAAGAGAAGACAGATATGACTAAAATATCTGGCAATACATCTTGTTTAATTTTAACTCACACACTGGACTGTACTCACATATTGTTTGTTGAAGTTGATCACCCCTTCCTCAAAAGCGACATCTTTGGTCTCATCGGCTTTGCCAAGTTTTTGAAGAACCTGTCGGTCAAACAAAAAATAACATTAGTGACCAATACCAAAGATAAGGTCAGCGATTAATTCTGTTCAGTGTCAAGACAGAACAAAAAGGACATGTTCCCTATATGCTGTACATCATTGAACATATTCATTTTCTTGTCCTGATCTCTCGCTTTCTTCTAAGTTTGCAATCAAATACGATTTACTTGCATTCATGGGTAAAATTGATGGGTTGCAAAATCAGCATACAACGCAATATATATAAACAATGTTAAAAAGAGCAGTGGGAACATACATGAAACAAATGCTGTTTAAATTAATAGGTAAATAAACAGACTGACAGTAACCATGTTGACAGTAAATGCATGCATGCATTACATACATTATTTCCATATGAACTCATAATGTTGTCATTACAGACCACCACACATACATAACGCACACTGGGGTTACAGGGGTAACATTATCTGTTTTCTCTCCCCTTCTCTCCCTCTACAGTACTTGATGCATTATGATAGACAAATAGCGCCCCCTGCCATTAATTCAGTGCATAGTTCGCAGGTGCATAAACGCATAGACCAGGCCTCATATCTACCATCCTACACATATTGCAGCGGGGGTATAATTATTATCATGGTGCCAGTAAAATGCAAGACAGTGTTCCTGCAGTAACCATTTGTGTGACAAACACTCACAAAGATACCCAGTTATCGCCTTAAAATGCCAGAAACACATCAGTCATGGGCCAAATCATGAGAGATTAAATTATGAGTAGGCCTTACAGTTCATCTCACTGCAACATGAACGTGCCCGCTGTGTGACATTGACTTCAGGAAAGATGCATTTGAAGTGGACATCCTCAAACACAGCATCCTTGTCCGTATTATTATGATGTCGTGATGCGACACTGCGCCTCGGTGGAGGATGCGGCACTGCTGCTTGTAGGCCTGAATAATTATCCCCCACACATTCACATGTTCTGGTGAGCAGCTCTTACCTTTTCTTGGGCTCTCGTTAGTTTTTTCTGAACGTTGCTGGCCACTTTCCCCGCAGTCAGCCCCTTCCCCAAATTCAACTCAGCCATCTTGTAGCGTAGATCAGTCTTTGGATGCGGGAAGGAAGGAAATACAAGCAATAACGATCTTGGTGGACCGCTACGGCAACCGTTGAGGCAAATTCATCAATGTCCAGTGGAGAAAAAATGTTGATAAATGTACTTGTGTGATTTTATGATGTATCTTTAGGGAGGTGTGTGTGTGTGTGTGTGTGTGTGCAGAAAGCTAAGCTGTATTCTCAAATATTGAGCTGCTGTGTGCGCGTCCGTGACAGAGGAGGATGCTGTCAGAGATGCTCTTAAAGGCACAGATGCTGCTGCGCGTCCACACAACAAAACTGGATATAATAGGAGACCATTAAATTAACTGGTAAAGCTATTTTGTAAAGCTACAATGTGAAAAAAAAAATCAATTTCAAGGGCAATTCTGCACTTTCGACCTTACGAATGCTCTTTGTTGGTCTTTATAATCTCAATTTTTACATTAAAATTGGCTTAAAAGCCAAGTCTTACAATTATAAATATCTCAGTTCTGTGGTAGGAAACATAAATATCCTGTAAAACATTCACAACCAACAACTCATAGCAAATAAAAGAAAAGAAACAGCCAGGCTTGCTTGCATTAACTCTGCAAAGAGCCATCTGTCTCTGATATTACAACGTTACGTAACACGTAAAGTGACACGAGTGTCACTGAAGAGCAGCTCAGCAGTGCAAGTGACTCAAGGAATAAGGGGAAACACTTTTACAATAAGGGTACAAATCATATACATAAATAATATTAGGAAAGTTAGTTCTATACATGTTTAATTATGTGATTGCATTTGTATTTATTAGTATATAAATGTTTGCAGCTGACGACCAGTTTGATAAGACTAAAAACAAAAACCAATAGCTTAATATTTCTATGAGAAGAGAAAGACTACTGTTGTGCTTTCAGAGAGGCTGAAATAAAGTTTTATGTAATTTGTATGTCATGTATGGAGAAACTTTGAATTAGCATTCCCTAACTGATGATTTATTAAGCATGAACTAATCAGTCATAGTGACTTGATCATTTGTTAATGATGGAATTCATGATCTCGCATTAATTCGTGCATTAAATCATCATAATTGCATCATGATGCATTATTTAGGCATTACTGGAGTATGTGATTTGTACCCTTATTATACAGTTGTACTGTAGTCTTATTAAAAATAATAAACACTTGTAGACATCAGTGAAGACAATGATGTTTTAAAGATGAAAACTTGACCTTTCTTTGTGAATTATGACCCAGCAGAGGTCAGGCCTCAGTTGTAAAATGTTTCCCAGGATGGAGTAAGCCAATGTGAAGCACTGGCTCTGATACTCTTACAGTGTGTCTCTCAGGATATACTGAACTATACACACTTTGACACAGCTACATTTGCTGCCACTGAGATGGGCTGCTTGGCCCATAATCATGATCACGATCCAAAAGGATTTAGGTCGGTTAGTGATTATATATATAAATAAATAAGGAGTATAATACTATAATGAACTATATAGTATAGAGGTACGCATGCAGCAAGTGCTCCGGTTTATTGTTGCACACTTACATGTTGCTGGAAAAGGGCACAATGGAAGCCAATGTCAAACGCAATGGCTCTGCAAAAATAGAAACATTAATAATTCAGTTTGGGGTTTTGTAAGTTTGTCCCTTACCCCATTCACACCCGTGACACCATACCAGTAGTAACCATTGGGCCGCCCAATGGGAGTGTGTGCAGGAGTGAAGACATATATATATATATTGGCTGCTTTTGCTCAAAGTCTGAGTGTGTGCAGACGTGCAGATGGGGGAGTCTGCCAACATCACACATACCAAGCTGTTCTGAGTGATATTAGTGAATTCATTTTGGCCTGATCATAACCACAAGTTGAGTACATTTTTGTTAAATTCCATGCTCCTGCCTCCTCGTGTATAACAACCCATACATTACCCTTAAAACAAATTCCCTTTGGTATTCTGATGATGTGAATAATTCTGCAGCTCTGTATTGACACAGGTGGCTGGTGCTGGCTGAGAGCTGTCCAAGGTCCTGAACTATGTAACAGCCTGTTGGTGCTGAGTAACAGGCAGCAGAACAAAACAAAAAAGACAAGGCCGGCTCTTATATTTGGACGTAATTATATCTCTGTTGCATAATCTAGCATGAGAGCGCGCTTAGCAGAAAAAAGCCTCATGCATGTGAGAAGTAAAATAGTTTAGTGTGTGCGTCTCATGTCATGTATGTCATAATCTGCCAAAAACAACAACCATAAAAATGTATCATTTAAATAAAAGTTTTAATAAAGTTTTTCTGTTCAAATTATTTTAATCACTTCTACCCTTTGCAATAATTCCGATGAAGCTTTTTCCTTGTATCTCCAATACACCTCCTTTGCACCCCTCCTCCCATTTCTTCCGTCTCTCGCTCTCTTTCTCTCTCTCTCTCCCTCACTTTCTCCCTCTCCTCCTCCCCTTTCCCTCGTCTCTTCCTCCTGTCTCCCAGTCTCTTTATCCCCGACAACAACAACATTTGGCCACGAGTCACCAAGCCCATTCGTTCCCATACATTCACATGAATAGGTCCTCCCCACCGCCACCCACCCCCCCTCTCGCGCTGCGGGAATGGTTTAACCCGTTATCCACAGTGTGTGAGCGAGACAGGGAGCACAAAGGAAGCGCACACACTGCTCGTCCAGGAGGGGATATAATAAGATGGCATGATGTAAACATGGAATAAAAACCCGCAAGAGCAGCGTTTTCCATTTCCCGTCGCACTGCTCTCCCCCCATTATCGGTGTTCAATATTAGATGAGGTGCTGGCTCACAACAACGGCGAGTCTGTCTGGACGCGGAGAGACAGGCAGCAAGTGAGAAATTGAAGCAAGAGTGGTGGAGGAGGAGAGGAAAGAGGAGTTGAGCATTGTTTCATCTTCAGCTTCAGGGTTTTCTTTCTTCTGGAGTTGCTCGCTGGGTTTTCTGGACCGAACCCCGGTTCACTGAGATCATGATGTCGGGGTTTTAAAACTGACCGAGCAGACAAGTGGAGATTCTTTATTTATTTATTTTTAAATCTGTTTTCCTCTCTTTTTTGGACTCGGGGACGACAAAGGGAAAACACGATAATATGTTGCATTTCTGAGGTGAGTGAGTTTTCTTTGTCTCTCTCTAATTACAGTTCTGTTGTGTTATCGCAGCACATAGATTATTGGATTGTCTCCCAGTGCCACAAAGAAAGACTAAAGTGTAACGTTTTGTCCTGTTATCTCCACCCAGCAGCCAAAATAACATCTCTTTTTCCCCATGTGAAAATGGTTCCCGAAAGCCAATTACGTTGCCCACAGCCGTATGCCCATCACTGTGACTGCCTTTGGAAATGAGACACATGGAGGGCTACCTCCGCTCCGCTATTGTTTTCCCTCTGTTGTTTTCAAGCGGAACATTAACGGAACATTTGGTGCTTGAGCGCAAAGCACGAGCACTTCGAGACCTCCTCAACGGTCGCGTATCAGTGACAGCCAGATGAATCCTTCATGATGTGTGGGAATTAATAATTTAATAGACTAAACTCTGAATTTGATACCCGTGTGCATAATTGGGTTGGACAGCGTGTAAACACTGGGAGGCAAATTGATTTTGCAGTCGTGGAAACTCACGTGCATCCATATCCCATCTATCTATCTATCTATCTCTCTAACAACACAGCATGCATACATGCATACATTTAAAACCTAATTGGACATTGAGAGGGAAAGAGGGAAAATATTTTCTTTCTCTCACTGTATTCCTCTCCACCTCCTCTGTTCTTCGTGGAACAGTAATAGCACATGAAACATCTTCATAATTGGTAGGTTTGCCCGAGCAAAGAGGAAGTAATTATAGGCAGCGAGCCTGCTAAGTGTGCAGGCATTTTACTTTTATTTCCTTTGTTAAACGTAATATTGTCTTTGTACCACATACTAGTTCTGTTCTGAAAATGACAGAGCCTGAACTTGTGTTTTCTCTCTCCTACTTCTGCAGTTTAAGATAACATTATTCATTAAAAGATAAAAATGAAACCATTCAGCATAAAAAAAGAGTTTAGCTCTCTGCTTCATTCCCCATATTTTTTTTGGTACTTCCACTTGGTGCTATATGTGAGAGAATGTGTGCACAGCTGTCTATGTGCTGCAAGGAGGAGACACACAAGGCTTTGCAACAAAAAGACTTGCAGATAATTACATACTGTGCATTCCTACTTTGATGTTACAGGAGAGGATGAGAAATATAACAGTGAAATACAAGAGCAGGAGATGCAAAGAGCATAAAATAGAGGGTATGATTATACTGTTAGTTGGCTGTTGTGCGCTCCAAATCTCAAATACAATTACAGGTTATAATGAACACTTTGGCCTTCTCCAAGCATAAAGAAAACCCACCAGGCACAGCCCATTAGAAAAGTTAAATTACATCCCTGAGATAAAGATCTCCTGAGATATAATGATGCATTTTAGGGTTGTGCAGTATTTGAAAAGAGGACGCAAAGAAAAAGACACCATGGGAGGACGTGTTGAGAAACCACTGTGCAGCTTTAGTTACTGACTGTGCTTCTGATCGGTGCATTGAATGAGTGCGCTGGTGTCAACTCACAGCGTTTCTTACTTTGTAGAGCTATTAAATCTTTTAATAAGACCCTTTCTTCAGTTTGTGGTTCATTTTCATGGTTTGAACTTTGAAGCTGTGGTCTTGGTTTTGGGAAATTAATTACTCAGTGAACCTACATTTGAACTGAACACCAAATAACAGATATTAGTCAGATAAAATGTGGCTAAAAATGTTCATTCATTCAACTCAGGGAGCAATAAGCCATATACTGCTGGCAACTGTGCAGTTGGGGGTCACCCAACAGGACACTGTTAGAGGAGATATTGAGAAAAATGAAACATTTACTTTACTTTCTGATGATTTTTAAATGGTCCAGCCAGCAATTTTCCAGTCAGAGCCCCATTTCTCTAATATGCCCAATGGTATGTACACTACTCCAGCTAACAGGTGTTATTCTTATGCACTGTGCTCTACTGATTCCTCAGTGTTAATAATAATTAATAATGGCAGCTCTTGATATCACATTTAAATCTCTGTGGCTAGTAATGAATGGTTAGGTCTGTGTTTAAGACAAGATAATGAACAGACCAAGGGGCATTGAGAGGATAGGCACGTGACAACACACAATGCACTAGTATTCACCTCTGAATCTTTCAGTCTAT